TACGGTCATTGATGTATTTAACAACTACTAGACCATATATTATGTTTTCAGTTTTCTATTGTGTTAGGTTCCAGGAAAATCCACACGAACCTCACATTGTGGCAGTTAAGAACATTTTCAGATACCTTAAACAAACTTCATCTCTTGGAATATGGTATCCTGCGAACTCAGGATTTTCCGTGCAAGCATTATTTGATGCCGACCTAGGGGGATTTGGTTTAGATAGAAAAAAGCAAAACAGGTGGATGCTAATTTCTTGACGGCAAACTAGTTAGTTGGCAATCCAAGAAGCAAACATGTGTTTCGTTGTCAACAGTGGAGGTTGAATACATAGTTGCAGCTTCGTGCACATCCCATGTTATTTGGATTCAAAGCCAACTTCATGACTATGGCTTAAGTATGAAACGAATCCCACTTTATTGTGACTCTGAAAGTGAAATTCACATTTGTCACAACCCAGTGCAACACTTCAAGATGAAACATGTAGCACTAAGGTATCACTTCATCAAGGATCACGTGGAAGATGGAAATGTTGAGATACATTTTTTAAGATCCGCTGATTAGTTGTCTGACATATTTACGAAGGCCCTTCCTGAAACAACCTTTAATAAAATCCTTCAAGGGCTAGGAATAATGGAAGTTGAATCAGTACCAAAACCACCTTCGCACTAATAAAGAAGTGGCTGCGAATTAGTGCGAATACTCGCACTCTCTCACAGACAACTGTTCATTCGGTTTTCTTTATTGTTGCGAATCGTTGTGAACGTTCGTAGGAGTTCGATGCTCACTGTTCATTCATGGTTTGGTTTCTTATATTCTTTTGTACTTTTTGTATATTTTTGCTTGTCTTTATCTCACACCTTTTCTGTTTTTATTTCTTTTCCAGAAAATCCAAAAATCCAAAAATATTATATTTATTTATGTTTTATTTCTTTTCAGAAAATCAAAATTCAAAAATATGTTTCTTTTTGTCTTATTTCATTTTTAACAGCCCAAAATCCAGGTATTCTTCTGTTGGACTTGCATCTTGATTAAGTTAATGATTTAGGGTTTTCATGGTAGGCGAGTACGCTGGGCGTACAAGGTGTACATTGCGCGTACTCGCGCGCCTCATTTGGACGCGTTCCCCCTCAGGTACACGGGGCGTACCCAAGGTTACGCCTGGCGTAACTCATTCAGACCCAAACCCTAATTTCCTTTGTTGAGGCTATAAAAGGAATGTGTGGCTGGACTTTTCAGCCACCACCCCTCAGAGTGAAACCCTAAATAGTGTGTGCCATCGTCCTTAAGCCTTTGTGTGTGCATTCTAAGCTTGGTAGTGCCATTTTAAGGTTGCAAAGGAGAAGAAAAGCTTGTTGGAGAGGCTAGAAGTGGTGCTCAAGTGTAGATCTGAGCTTTGCAAGGGTTAAAGCTTCAATTTCAGGTAAAAATTTCGGATCTTGACACTTGGTTCTTGTTGTATGCTTTAGATGTCATTTTCTAGGGTTTAAGTCCCAAAGGTGTAGACTTTTGTGCAAATGGCCTCCATAAGCTTAGAAGTTTCATGTTTCTGATCTATTGGAGATGTAGACTCATAAAAATGGCATCTTGGACGTGGGTATTGCACCATGCATGAGATTTAGGTCCTTGAGTTTGAATAAAAGGTTGTTATGTGATGTTGGAGCCTTTACAGCCATGCCAAGGCTTAAAGGTCTCGACTTTATGGGTTTAGACACACTAAAGGAGTCGGATCTGGAAGTTGGATTAATGACTTAACTGATTAAGACCAGAAATGGAGGGTGGCTGATTCTGGTGGTTAAGCAGGGCGTAACTTCCAGTGCACGCCGCGTACTGGGTGGAGACCCCCATCCGATGGGAGTTGGCGATGTACGCCCTGCGTACATCTAGCGGTATGCCCCGCGTACTCTCATGGTTGACTTTTGTTGACTTTTAGGGTTTTGGTCAACATGAGGACTTTAGGTCAAGGAAGGGTAAAATGGTCTTTTACCCTTTCAGGAAGGATGATTAGGGGTAAAGTTTTAGTAGTTGAAGTCTTCGTGTATTAAATGATATTTTTATGCTTAGGCGAGGTTGAGCCGTCATTGGATTCGGTGACAGCGAGGACACGAGATCTTAGACTTCCCACGAGGTGAGTCTTCTCACTATACTATACCCGGAAGGGTTTGACTGTGTGACCGGAAGGTCGAATATGATATGAGATATATGCATTATGTGTGATAAGTTAATCGTTATATGTGCCATGTATGATATGCTTGATATTGGCCGGAAGGCATTATGTTATGGGCCGGAAGGCGAATATGTTATGGGCCGGAAGGCGTTGTAATATGAACCGTAAGGTTGATGTGGGTAGGACCGGAAGGTTTACCAAGTCGGGACGGAAGTCCCCTGAAACACATGGACCGGAAGGCCAGGGGCCTGGAAAGGCGTATGTGCGTAGGTTGTATTTTGGGGAACTAACTAAGCAATTATGCTTACAGTTGTTGTGTTACGTGTTTCAGGTACTAGCGAGGACCTTGGGAAGGCGCCGGCGTGATCGTACACATTATCGGGGAAAAACTATTTTTATGATCTTTGTGATGTATTCGGTTGTGACAAAATTGTTTACGTTTGGATTTGAAATATTAATCGATGTTTTTGATGTTTGCAAAAATGAAAAATTGGTTTTAAAATTTACGTCACTACATCATTGTTCTTATATGTTTCTAATGTCATAAAATTCCTAAAACATTAGAAAACCATAAAACTCAAGGAGCATGTTCGTGATTCGTGAACTGGAGCAGGTAAAAAATTCTTTTCCTTTGTATTAGTTAAGTGTCCCTAGAAGCATGTTGTTGCATGTTGTCCAAACCCTCTATCGACTCTATGTGAAGCCTTAATGAATCGAATCTACCATTCGTTTCTTCCCAATCAGGCTGCTAAATTCACATTGGTCATGAGCTACCTTACTCTTCTCACATTGAATTATGAGTTATCTGCTTGGTCACACTTGTTCAGCAGAGGTACATTCGCTTTCTCAGGAACCACCTCCTAATTTCTCCATTAATTTAATTAATGTAACCCTCGAGATTCTCAGCATTTACCACTGAGGTTTATGGTTGAACAACATCTGTGTTGAAGATCTTAGTTTCATTTCACCACGTGCTAAGTGAGACCCAAAATCCAACACCATAATGAATTGACGGTGAACCATTGAAAGTTATAGCTTTTCACCCACGAATTAACGAACACCACTTCCATGGTTTGTACCTCGAAATCTCATTCCTTTTGCATGATCTTTATGAAGTGTTCTATTACCAAGTCACGTACTTCTTCCCAAAGGATCCAGTTTTAATTTTGTTTGAGATTTCAAAGTTTTATCCTGTCACCACTATAACTACAAACTTACTCATTTAATTCACTATACTGGTCACACGAGTACTCCATCCAAAATTCGTTCTTATATCAAGTTCGTTGTCTAGGTTGGAGAGTTAGCCACCCAATTAGCCAAAATAAAAGAAGCCTTTCAGTGTTTCTTATAAGACATCTGATCGTATTTTAATGGGAAACCACACAGAGACTTCTTAGTCTTTCTTGACTTTGAAGGAAGCAATCTTTTCCCGGGATTAATTGTTTTGTGTCATTATGTAGACATCACACACTTTCCCAGAAATTCTTGATTTATTCCTTTATCTTTGACACTCTTGCATGAAGATCCTCATGATCTTCCAAAAGTCTTATTCATCGTTCTATGCAATATTATTTCAGGTTCGCAGTTTAACCTTCTTTTCAAAAAGGTGAAGATTCGTAAGAGTTACACAACGAATATTTAACTGCGAAAGATGGATGCTGACGCGGCAAATTCTGATAATAAGAATTCAAAAGGGCGCGTGTAGAAATTAAAACGGCCAACTGTTATTCTGCCGTATGATGCATGGGTCTGACATCTACAGTTTTCAAGTCGCGCTTTTTCGGGCAACGTTTTAGTACCCGATGCTTTCTCTCTCCGAATTCTCCTCCAAAATTGAATACTATATAAAGGTTTTGAAGGTTCCTCTCTCATTATCGCTTTCAAAATCTTCTATAAAGATATCCGGCAAACAAACTACTCTCTACTGTTTATCGTCTTCCTCAAACCTTCAACAATGGAGACTTCATCATCAGTTTAAGATCAAATCATTCATTCTTCTCTGCTAGCGGTCAAACCTAATCGATATCTTCTGATCGATCTGAATCCTTGAAAATATGAGTCATATCTTCTATACATGATCAAGTGTCTCAAGTATTCACCATGAGTGCATGCCCTAACCAAAATGGAGGATGTTCCAATGTCTCTTCTTTAAAGGGCATATTCTTCTGCAAGCTACATCAGTGTGGAGAATAAGATTGTATTTGACATTCACGATCAGAAAACCTCTACCACCAAAACCAGATTCTATTCTCTTCTAGGGCTTCCACAGTCAGAGGATATGATTAATCCTGAAACAATCTCCAGTGCTACTCTCTTGGAGATGTTTTATCAAATGTGATACAAGGAGTCTTTGTCTACACTCTCTAAATTATGCAAGCCCAACCTTCCTTCTCAATGGAATGCTTTATTTACGATCTTGTTCAAAAGCTTTTCTGAAAGAATTATAGGATCCGATTGTGCAAGTAAGTTATTCATGACCCTTATCCATGGACTCTACATAGGAATGAACATCGATTATGGAGTCGTTTTATGGGCTCAAGTGATTCAAAGCACTGTCTCCACGTCTCGTCATACGGAGATTTCTTGTGCAAGGTTTTGGTCTCTGATAGTTCGCATGGTCATTATTAAGCACAACATTCCCCTGATGCAGGACGCCCTAGCCTTTACAGTTTCCACCCTTCATATAAAAGGGATTATTGTTGTCGGTCCATTAAAGTTCCCATTCATTAGATCTATCCCTGAAGTCATGTTTCAGGTTGTTCCTGCTTCAAGTAAACTCTTTGAAGGATTTCACAAACTTACACCCTCGGGGTTTAGGCCTCTTACTCCAGAAATGCAGGCAATTCTTGATACCACTGATAAACCGAAGAAAGGAGGAAAGGAGTCAAAGAAAGAGGTTAAGAAGGCTGAAGGTCTTTCTGGTGCTACAAAACCTTCGCCTAAAAAGCAAAAGTCACCCACAGCATCCTCTATGGCTGTTCCAAAGAGAAGAAAACAACCGGCTCGCAAACGGAAGACGTCTACTCCCTCAAAAAGCAAAGAGTCAGATTCTGAGACTCATTCTATTTTCAATGAGGAGGAAATCTCGGTTTATAATGAAGAGGCAGAGACAGTTCAGAATCAAGAACCTCCAGTTCACAACGAAGAAGATACTACGAACCGAGTGGTACATCAATCTATTCGTGAATTAGTTCCTTCTCCCCATCCTTCTCCAAAATCAACCTCCATTCCCATTACTATTGCTCCTTGTCCACCCCCTGTTATCTCATCTCAACCTACTAAGGTTCCCATCTCAACACCAATCTTAACCGCTTCAACTACTAATCCCATCACTTCAATGATTCCTGAGGTTTCGATCAACGTATCTGATACGGGGGATACAACTTCAGTGTTCGCTACCCCTGTTTCCTCATCCATTTCTCCTATTCGTAATGATGATCTGGAAATGATATTTGCTGAAGATGGTGATGAATATGATCTAGGCGGATTCACCTATAATCCATTCCAGATCACGACCGAAAATGAAGATGAAACCTCAATTTCGAAAGGTCAGTTGAAAGCTATTCATGAGAAGCTTGATCAACTGTTGCTAGCCTCCAAGGCTTCCCCTTCTGATGTATATTTAAAAGCAATGGTTGAATCATTATTTGGGAGAATAAAGGAGCATGAAGAAAATGCTAAAAAGATGAATGCATCGCTTTTTGAATCTGTTGAAGTCTGCAAATCAGCGACCAAAGGAGTCGGATCTGGAAGTTGGATTAATGACTTAACTGGTTAAGACCAGAAATGGATGTTGGAGCCTTTACAGCCATGCTAAGGCTTAAAGGTCTCGACTTTATGGGTTTAGACACACTAAAGGAGTTGGATCTGGAAGTTGGATTAATGAATTAACTGGTTAAGACCAGAAATGGAGGGTGGCTAATTCTGGTGGTTACGTAGGGCGTAACTTCTAGTATGCATCGCGTACTGGCTGGAGACTCCGATCCGGGGGGAGTTGGCGATGTACGCCCCGCGTACATCTAGCGGTACGCCCCGCGTACTCTCATGGTTGATTTTTGTTGACTTTTAGGGTTTTGGTCAACATGAGGACTTTAGGTCAAGGAAGGGTAAAATGGTCTTTTACCCTTTCAGGAAGGATGATAAGGGGTAAAGTTTTAGTAGTGGAA